CCCATTAGTCTCATTTTGTTATATGGGCCTGTCTAATCTTTGCCTTTGCCCATTTTTTAATTGGATTATTTGTCTTTTTGTTGTAGAGGTGTTGGATTTTCCCGTAGATTTTAGAGATTAGACCTTTGTCGGATTTGTCATAGCCAAATTTTTTTTCCCAGTCTTTAGGTTCTCTTTTTACTCTTTTGGGTGAAGTCTTTTGATGAGCATAAGTGTTTAATTTTTAGAAGATCCCAGTTATCTAGCTTATCTTCTGGAGTTTCTGTGTTGTTAGTTATGCTTTGTATCCTGTTAATGCCATGTATTAGGGCCTCTAGTATTGATCCTGTTTTGTCTTCTATGATCTTTATAGTTTTTGGTTTTATATTTAGGTCTTTGATCCATTTTGAATTAGTTTTTGTGCATGGTGTGAGGTATGGATCCTGTTTCATTTTTTTTGCAGATGGACATCCAGTTTTGCCAGCACCATTTGTTAAAAAGACTGTCTTTTTCCCATTTGATGGACTTTGGGCCCTTGTCAAAATCAGGTGACCATAGGTGAATGGATTTACATCTGAGTTCTCAATTCTGTTCCATTGGTCAACGTATCTGCTGTTGCACCAGTACCAGGCTGTTTTGACTACCATAGCTGTACAGTAGGTTCTGAGGTCAGGTCATCCGAGGCCTCCTACTTTATTCTTCTTCTTCAATAGTGCTTTACTTATCTGGGGCCTCTTCTCTTTCCACATAAAGTTAATGATTAGTTTTTCCATCTCTTTAAAGAATGCTGTTGCTATTAGGATCAGGATTACATTGCATTTGTAGATTGCTTTGGGTGGAATTGACATATTCACAATGTTGAGGCTACCTTTCCATGAGCATGATTTTTCCATTTATGTAGATCTGTTTTGGTTTCTTGCAATAGTGTTTTGTAGTGTTCTTTGTGTAGGTCTTTTACATCCCTGGTTAGATTTATTCCTAAGTATTTTATCTTTTTAGGGGCTATTATAAATGGTATTGTTTTCCTGATTTCCTTTTCGTCGTTCTCTTTATTGGTGTATAGGAACCCAACTGATTTTTGTATATTTATCTTGTTTCCTGCTACTCTGCTGAATCTTTCTGTTAATTCCAGTAGTTTTCTCATGGAGTCTTTAGGGTTTTCTACGTATAGTATCATATCATCCACAAATAGGGACAGTTTTACTTCTTGCTTATCAATCTGTATGCCCTTTATTTCTTTTTCTTGCCTTATTGCTCTAGCTAGGGCTTCCAGCACAATGTTAAATAGGAGTGGTGATAAAGGGCATCCTTGTCTTGTTCCTGTTCTCAAGAGAAATGTTTTCAGCCTTTCTCCATTAAGAATGATGTTGGCTGTTGGTTTTGTATAGATGCCCTTTCCTGTGTTGAGGAATTTCCTTTCTGTACCTATTTTATTTAGAGTTTTTATCAGGAATGGGTACTGGACTTTGTTAAATGCCTTTTCTGCATCGATTGAGATGACCATGTGATTATTTTATTTATGTGGTGGATTACGTTGATTGATTTTCTAATGTTGAACTACCCTTGCATATTTGGTATGAATCCTACTTGGTCACGATGTATTATTTTTTTGACATGATGCTGAATTCTATTGGCTAGAATTTTGTTGAGAATTTTTGCATCTATATTCATGAGAGATATTGGTCTGTAATTTTCTTTTTTTGTGGTGTCTTTGCCTGGTTTTGGTGTCAGGGTTATGCTTTTTCCAGCACTTTATATACCATGTCCCACTTAATCTTTACAACGATCTTATTTAATAGTGTAGTGTGCACTGCAATTGTTTCTCTAAAACCCACTCCACAGGTGCTAGGTAAGAATCTCACCCACAGGCAGAGGTGGCTTCTTGATTAATTGCTATGACAGTCCCCCCTTAATCTGGAATAAAAGTGAACCTGATAAATTCTCTCCAGATGGTAGCACAGGGTCAGCCTAGTCCATTCCCAGGAGGTCATTTATATAAGCTAAATGTCAGGACTGCATTCAGTGGTTCTGGAAACCAGATTAAAAAAAAAAAAAAAAAAAAAGACTTAAAACCAGCACATGTTTTTTCATGTAACTAGGAGTCCAAAAATAGGAAGTCCAGGGTGGATGCAATTGCTCAAAAAAGACCCTAAACAAGATGAATTGACACAGTGGCTGCAACAATCAGCTCAAGCATAGTAATGATTGTGAGGATGGCACCGGAGCAGGCAGTGTTTCATTCTGTTGTACATAGGATCGTTATGAGTTGGAACTGACTCAACGGCACTCAAAAACTGCTATCTGTAAGGAGCCCTGGTGAAACAGTGGTTAAGCGTTGGGCTACTAAACAAAAGGTGAGCTGTTCAAATGCACCAGCCTCTTTGCCAGAGAAATACCCTGGAGATCTGCTCCCATGAAGATTACAACCGGAAACCCATGAGGCAGTTCTGCTCTGTCCTATAGGGTCACTATGAGTCGGAATGGACTCACCTTAGTGAGTGAATTTCTTGTCCATGCTCACAAAATGTTTGCTGCATCACCAGCAGTATATTCACATTCCAGGCAAGAAGAAGGGCAAATATGTGCCAGCTGAGTTTGCCGCTTTTTCTTTTAATCAGGAAAACAGCAGTTTACCTAAAAGCTATACCCTTTAGGTTCTATTTACATCCTATTGCCCAGAATTATGTCATAACCCCATCCCTAGCTCCAAAGGAGCCTGGAAAGTAGAGTTCTTTAAATGAGCACACTGTTACCTTGAACAAAATTGGAGTATGTAGTAAAGATGCAGGGGAGAACAGGTATTGGGCAGGCAACTGGCATGGTCTTTCACTGGATATACCAAGCATGTGATGTTTTTCAGACGTCTTAAATCTTGCTCTCTACCGTTAATTGTGCACACTTGTTACTTTGGTTGCTTCACAATATTTCTGTTAGAGAATAGGGGAAGCTGTAACTCTGTGTCCCAAAAGGGAAAGAACGTGTGATTGGATGTCACCGCTGTTGTTGTTAGGTGCCGTCGAGTCAATCTGACTCATAGCAACCCTATGTACAACAGAACAAAACACTGCCTGGTCCTGTGCCATCCTCATGATCTTTGCTATGCTTGAGCCCATTATTGCAGCCACTGTGACAATCCATCTTGTTGAGGGTCTTCCTCTCTTTCACTGAACCTCTACTTTACCAAGCATGATGCCTTTTTTCAGGGACTGGTCCCTCCTGATAACATGTCCAAAGCACGTGAGACCAAGTCTTGCCATCCTCGCTTCCTGTCACCTCTAGGGCCAAATAAAAAAGAGGGAGACAGGACATCTTGTGTCCATGGAGCTGGGCTGTTGTAGAATCTCTCTGTCCACCTCTTGAGGTGGTAGGGAAAGGGTGATGTGGTTTCTTCAACTGTTCAGATTTTATTTTGGACCTCAGGGGCAGAGGGCTGTGGTCTCAGGGGTGCCAAAGCCCTGGAGGACATCTGAATAAAACATCTCACTCCCAGGGCTTTCTCTGGGCTCCCTGGTGACCACATGGTTTTGTTCTGCCAATCCAATTTCAGTTAACATTTATAGTGGCGGGTGGTTTGATGTAGCCTAGCAGGAAATTGTGAACATATGGCTCCAGTGATTTGATGATTATCCTTTTTTTTCTTCGATTGGATTTCCCAGCAAATTAATAGAAATTCAAGTTCTCAGATGCTCTCTTTGTAAACAGTTCCTTCCTCTCTTCATTTAATCACATTTCATCAGCAATGATCAAGAGTGCAAAGGGTACAAATGTGAATTAAGTCAGGTCTCAGACCTTAAAGAGTTGGTGAGGGGCGGGGAAGCATAAGATCATTTGCATTCATTCGACCCCGGCAAAAGTAAAATCAACAACACCGTCCTGATGCAGGCTTTAGGTAACAGGAACTCTTATTCATCCCTAGTGAGAATGTAAATTGCTGAGGTATTTTTGGAAAGTAATCTAGCAAATATTAGGTTTAACCAGTGTAAATTTATGAAATTGCCATTTCTTTAGGTCAAAGTGTTTGAATATTAACACTTTTCTATGATTTAACCTAATACATTAAAAATGCACATACTCTTTGGCCCAACAGTCTCACTTTTGGGAATCTAGCCTGTAGAAATAAAAATATTATAGTGGAAAGCTATTCATACAAGAGATACTGCTCTGCTAACATTGGTTACCTCAAGGAGAGGGTAACAGAAGAGGTTAAGGGGAAGTTTTTAAGTTCTGTATACATCGTTGCATTGTTTCAGTATTTACATGACATTTACATTACATGACTCTCAAGGATTGGGCTGGTGCAGGGGGAGTCTGAGAAAGATTCACAAGGGAGGTGACCCTTGAATCGCCTCTTGAAAGGTGTTCAGGCAGACTGAGGCCTGCGGGCAGAGGCCAGCACCCAGGCACCGGGGTGTTAAGCGTGGACGCCTGGCAAGCTTACGAGCCAGGGAGGAGCACAGGACCAGACCCACACTGGGCCAGGCCCGGGCTGCGGCTGCTATCGGACCCTGCCTTTGGCCTCTTTCTGCCTGAGCTACTGATGCCATGGCTCCCTCTCCGCCACAAGTTTCTGCCGCGTTCTAATGAGGACGCAGGGTGCAGGTATAGCAGCACCTGGGTAGGGCTCCGATGCGGGCTTTTACTATTGGAAGCACACCCCCTCCTCACACACACAACCCCCACACCCAGACATTCCTCGAACCCTGAGTTCCCTGCCTGTGACCCTCTCGCGGCCCAGACTCCCGTACTTCCGGGAGTAGCTCCGCAATGGTGAAGCCTCATCCCCTCCCGAAACAGGCCTTAAATTCCGGCCCCTGAGAGCTGCGGCGCAGTCCAGCCAGCTTCCGTAGCTAGTGGAACCAGCCCCGCCCCCCCGCTTTTTTTAACCCTGCTGAATATGTATAGACTCTTATTACGGAACGTTTGCACGTAGCTGTCCTCGTTGTGCTGAATCATCTGGCCTCTGTCTTGCATTTGGACCTGGAAGGAAGTAAATTGCGCGAGATCGGAGAAGGGTGGATGCTGGAGGGAAGGGCGCGGGCTGGCGGCATTTCGGGTGCACCCCATAGCTGCCTGCACCTGGGGAGGGGGCTAGTCAAGGAATTTGCGGGACTGCAAAACTGGGAAAGTGTGGAAGGAGGAGAAAGGTAGGGTCGGCCTTCGGGGAAGTATAGTTAAGGGGTACCGGAGTGGGGCTGGAAGAGGAGGGTGGGAGCCAGTACCGCACCAGGTCCCTTCCTCTGGGCGGGAGGTCTCCCTGGACCAAGTCGGCCTTTGTGGCCCTGCCCTTGCCAAGGGGCCTTCTGGACTTGGGGCGAGTTAAAGAATTCGCAGCGGTTGCCATTTTGGTAAAAGGGACAAGAAGGAGCAGCCAGGCTGCAGATCGGACCGCCTCGATAGCTCCACTTGCAGTGAGGAAGTGTCCCCGCCAGGCGACAGGCGTCCCTTATTCCCAGCACTTGTTTGCAGCGGATTCACTCGCAGGGAAGCCTCGCTCGCGGGGAAGTCTGATCGAAGCAGGATGTTCAGGGCAGTCTTAATCATCTTCTCTGGGTCTTATGTGGCGGAGAGTTTGTTGTTAGTAGCCTTCAGTGGATTCCGACCCATGGCAAGTCCAAGCGTGCAGAGTAGAACTGCTTCTTAGGGTTTTCAAGGCTTTCGGAAGCAGATCGCCAGTCCTCTCTTCCAGGCTTGTCTTCTGAGGCCCCTCTGGATGGGTTCCCACTGCCAACTTTTGGGCTAGTCTAGAGTTTAACGCTTTGCGCCACCCAGTGACTCTAGATGGCAAGTTCAAACCCCAGCAAACAAATGCTTGATTTCTAGTTGGAGCCAAAGAAAGATCACACCTGAAAATAGGACGGAGCAACGGAGACCCCTCTTCCCCCCGCTCCCCGTGGTTTTCAGGTGTTCGTGAGAATATTTGCCTTAGAATGCGTTGCTCCGTCATCTAAAAAGATGGACGTGAGCTTCTATTCTATTCTTAATATTTGTAACTGTTTCTTAGGATTTGCTTCATGTGAGGTGAGAAACTAGAAATATTTACATGCCCGGCAGCACTCTGTTCAGTGTCCCCAGAGAAATGTTAGGGGTGGCTGGGAAGAATTTGTGTTGCTTGCCTTGGAGATTTAGCTAAGCCTCAGTTTCCTCATCTTGTACATTGGCAAACATAATAATGCCTATCTTATAGGGAAGTTATGCGGATAAAATGAGATGATATGCTTAGCACAGCACCAGATACACAGTAAATACTAAATACTAGATAAATGTGATTGATGCTAAATGATAATGATGAGGAATATTATGAGTGGACCCCTGCGTAAGAAGTCAGTCACTTCATGGCAGTTGACTACATGTTTACTGTGTTCTAGGAGCTTCAGGATGGTACATGCTAAGAGCTGGACCCTGAAGAAGCATTTTGAAGGTTACCCTACTAACAGTAACTTTGAGTTGAAGATAACTGAGCTCCCACCCTTAAAAAATGGAGGTAAGTCATACTTATAAGATTTCAGAATTGGAAGAGTGTTGTTATGGATTGAATTATGTCTCCCAAAAATATGTGTTGTAAATCCTAATCTCTATGCCTCTGATTATAACCCATTTGGGAATGGGTTGTCTTTGTTATGTTAATGAGGCAGGATTAGAGTAAATGTATTTTGAGTCAATCTCTTTCAAGATATAAAAGAGATTTTACAAGCCAGCAGAGTAGAGATGCGGTAAGAAAGATGTCAAGACACATGGCAATCTCCAGGGAACCAGGAAGCAGAAGCTGAAGAGACAAGGACCTTCCTCCAGAGCAGACGGAAGAGAAAGCCTTCCTCTAGTGCTGGCGCTCTGAATGTGGACTTCTAGCCTCGTGAACTGTGAGAAAAAAATTTCTGCTTGTGAAAGCTTTCCACTTGTGGTATTTCTGTTATAGCAGCACTAGATAACTAAGACAAGTGTGTATCAGTCTTTGTTGCATAACAAACTATCCCAAAACTTAGTGACTTACAATCATTTATTAGTTCACAATTCTATGGGTTGGCAGTTTAGGCTAGGCTAAGCTGGGCAGTTCTTCTGTAAATCTCATCTGGGCTAGATGGTTGATTAGGATGGGCTTTCCTCATATGTCTGCTGGTTAGCAGACTTTCTGGTGAGATGCATGCCCCAGTTCTCCTCTATGAGTCTTTCTGGCAGGATAGTTTGAGCTTGTTTTCATAGTGGTCTTATGGATCTAGTGCAGTGGGAGTTGGCAAGCTCCAGTATGCAAGCACTTTCCAAGCCTCTACTTGAGTCGTGTTTGCTAATATCCCATTGGTCAAAGCAATCACATGGCCAAGCCCAGATTCAAGGTGTGGAGAAATAGATTTCTTGACAGGAGTGGCAAGGAAGCCAGCATATAGGGGTGGGAGGTATTTGTGGCCATTTTGCAATCTACCACAGAGACCTTTTCAAGGTTCTCTGTATGTCACGTTGGAGGATCCCTCTGCTTTCCTTGATAATTGAAACACAAGCTTGAGTGCATTACTTTTCATGACTTTGCCCAGACCATAAGGAGGATGTCATCTCTGTCCTGGTGAGCCCAATGATGATAGCAGGGTAAGCAATGCCCAGCAGCTGTGTGCAAAGAGCTCAGACTGTCCCTGTGAGCAGACAAAGAAGGAAAAACTCTCATCCTTCACTGAGAAGTCTCCCATGCACTTGGGGGAAGTGGAGGGACAAGACAAACCTAAAGAAATCGAAGGGAGAGAAATGGCATATACCCCATGACATACTTGGGGATTGGCTTTGTAGAATAGACTGTAAGAAGTTTCTACAGGTAGGTAACCTTTTAAGAAAAGAGAATGCAATCTAGTAACATGGTAAAGTTGTCACTCCTATCTAAGTGATTGTAAAAATGGCTTGGTGGAGGCATCTGACCTCCTCTAACTTCACAAGGAGGAAGGAGAATCAAGATCAATAGCCCAAGGCTGATTCCTATGAGGTGGAGGTCAGATGTACCTTTACCGATTCTTTACCATCCATCTTTACCAATTCTGACACCATCCGTCCCTCCCATGGCACTCTCTACTTCTCTGCTGATTCAATAATTCATTGCAGTGGCCACATAGAACTCACAGACAGTACTCATGATTATGGGGTTTATTAGGGAAGTAACAGATTACAATTCAGGTTCAGGAACGACTCAGGATACAGTTCTTCCATCAGGACAGCCTCTTCTCCATCGTGCCTGCAGACAGGGCTCTCTCTGGCCCGTCAGCCTCAGCCCTGCTCTGGCAAGTGTTACAAAGCTCTTTTAGCTCTGCTTATAAGTGCCCCGAGGCACCCCACTTGCCAGTAAACCTCAGCCCAAACACACTCAGTTCTAGCTCTGTGGGTCAGCAAGCCTAGCTCCACCAGGTGCCTGGAGCCACCCTGCTCCACCAGCAAGCCTCCTGCCCAAAGTCGCTCAGCTTTCTCACTCCTTGGGCCAGAGTGCCTCCTGCAGGTCTCTTGGTTCTGCTGCCGCTGCTTCTTTGCCACAACTTCATCTTCAATGTTAACAGCTCGCTGTCTCTCTCTCAGTCTCCTGGTTCCAGGAGCTTCTCAGCACAGGGATCCCAGGTCCAAAAGATGCACTCCACTCCTGGTTCTTCTTCCTTGGTAGTGGTGAGATCCTCTCCTCCCACCTCTGTGATGACTCATTTTAAGCCAAGGGGGATGGGGGATGACAAAACTGACCTTTGTTAGGGCTCCATAGACCTTATTTGCATGTTCCCACCCCCACATGGGTGCCATGAGCTTTATTTGCATTATTAGCAAGCTATCCAACTCCCTTGGTGGGCCACAATTACCTTATTTGTATAGTCCCACCCAATCACTTGGGTGGGAGTTACAAGACCATGACAAGAAAGGCCATATAAAAGTGATCCATCGCAGGGCAGTCATGATGGCCAGGAATGGGATGTGAAATTTCAGAGAATGTGTGCATGAGGTCACTCCAGCAAAATGCATATTCTTTACTGATAATTGAGGTTGGTAATGAAGCCCTATGTGAGCACTGTAGTGTAGTGGTTACAAGTGTAGCCTTGGACAATTTACTTACCCTAAGCTTAAATTCTTCATTGATAAAAATGGAAATAATAATTGAGCCTATCTTGTAAGGTTGCTGAGAACATCAAATGAAATAATTCATGTAAAGTATGGAGTAAATGATGAATAAATAGGATTATTATTGTTGTTATTATTAACTAGGCTGGACCAAAAGAGAGAGACTTTCACGTCTCTTAAATAGAATGCCAGCCTTTAGATGAGAGGCCAACCCTGAACCAGAAAAGCTATGTTTATTTAGAATGCCAAACACAATAAAGGCATCAGGCCTTGAGTTTCTAATTGACTGTGGAATGCTTTCGTTTGTAGAGGTCCTGCTTGAAGCTTTGTTCCTTACCGTGGACCCTTATATGAGGTATTATTTTCCACCTAAAAATTCTTATGCTCTGTGTTGGACCCTAATTTGAAGTAGTTCATGTTTTAAAACATCCAACTGATTCAAAACACTGTGACTTTTTCCTCCTTTTTTCCCCCCAGTTTATCATTATCAGGCAAAGGTTTGAGAAGCTTGATGAAGGATTACCCTAGTCCTGTTATTTTACAACAATCTCCTGTCTGCTATGCACAATTTGCCTTTTACTGCTCACCAGAATTGCTCCCAGAAAAATTAAAAAAGAAATCAAAGTCCAGTTTGTCCATTTCACTACTGGCAAATAATTTGTATAGAGGCAGATATTAAGACTAAAATCAGATTCTCTTGCCTTCCATTTACCTGTCTTGAGTTGACTCAAACTTGTGCGCTAAATTAGCAAACAAATGAGGGAAGGGAAGGAATGAAAGCCTTCATGGGCCACCTACCTCCTTAGTAATTTTTTGCTTTGGTAAATAATTATAGCCATTGTTCATTTCAGTAATTTTTTCATAACTGATTAATAAAGATTCAAATCTGAAGTGAAAACTATGGTTTAAAAATGTTAACTAGCATCCCTTTTTGTGTTGCTAGCATTTTGAGTAACAAGCAGTATTGGTGCCTGGGGTATATATTAAAAGTCATTGGTGGAGACTCATCCACAATTGAACATAATGGTAAGATATCATGTTCATTTCACAGAACATTACTATCAGAGTGTCTCTTTGGGGTCACAGAGCAGAACTACTACCTCTAACAGCTTTCCCCCTACATCTCACCTAGTTGTACTGCTCTCTTGTATCCAAGTTTGATCTCTACACACACTCCCCCAGTGGTTTTTCATTTGACTTGAAACTCAAGACAGTTTTCCCCAGGTGCTATTATGTATTAAGAATGGAATTTCTTTTTTTTTTCAGAGTAGTAGCCAAAAGATTGAAGGAGGGTGACACGATGATGGGGCAACAAGTTGCCAGGTAGTTATTTCTGTTTGTTCTAATGCTTGGAAAACATATCTCCTCCTGACCGGCCTGCTGGGCCCTGTCTGTATCCATTGTTCCAAAAATTTCTTCAGCTTGCTTGCTTCTCTCACTGTTTGATCTTGGAAGCACCCTGGAAATCCTCACCCTTCCTGACTAATTGGGAGGGAGCGAAGGATGTGAAGTGGTCATCATTTCAGTCTCACTTTGCTATCCTTACTTTTACTAAAAAGTGGTACTCATCCAGTTCATGATTATTATAAAAATTCAAATAAAAAATTGTCTTAAAAACTGAAAGTTTCTCCATCGTTTGAAGCTTTAGAGTTTAGAGGCTTAGAGGGAAGCAGAAAGCCAGGAGAGGTCAGTATCTTGAAAACTAAAGAGGTAAGAGTCTTGAATGAGCAACAGTGTTAAATAGAGTAGAAAGGTAAAATCATATGATTGAAGAATGGCCCCTGGATTTTGCAATCAGGAGGCTGTAATGTTAGTGGAGTGGTGGTTGAAGGCAGAATGCAGTGGGTTTTCAAGCAAATGGGAAGTGAGGAAGTTTGGCTGTAAAAGAAGAAGAGAGAGAGGGAATGTAGGGAAATGGTGGGGTTATAAAATGGTAGAGTTGAGCGTATTTAGATGTTGAGGGAAAGGGACAATAGAGAGGAAAATGTTAAAGGCTGAGGAGAGAGGAGGGCTAAGAGATGGAGGGTGGCCTCTGAAGAACGGAAAAGGCTGGTGTCCAGAGCACCTTGAGTCAGAGAACAGATGCCTCTTGTTCAGAAAGAAGTGGATGAAAACAGGGACAGATGCTGAACCAGCTGAGAGAGTTCCTCTCTGATGGCCCCTATTTCTTCTCAAGGAGGAGAAGAGGCCAATGGCTAAGAATTAAAATGTCAAAATGTGTATTTAATTCTGGAATATCAACCCCAGTGCCCTTTTGTGAACACTGACCACCCAGCATCCTGACTTCCTTGAAAGGGAAGAGGATTCACATGTCTTAATGTCCTTTATTCTTCAGAGTTGTGGAAAGTAAAAACTCAGCCTTACCAACAGGAACTATCGTAGTGGCTTTTTCAGGCTGGACAACACACTCCATTTCTGATGGGAAAGAACTGGAAAAGCTGCCTACAGAGTGGCCAGACACATTACCGCTGTCTCTGGCTTTGGGGACAGTTGGCATGACAGGGTGAGTTTCATGGATATATTTTGTTTGTTTGAATGCCTAACACTAAGTTTCCAAAATGATTTGTCCAGGAAGAGACTTGAGACATTATAGGCTCAGGAGCTGACTGAAGTAGATAGTGGAACTAGGAAGGGAAGAAGGGTGGGCTAGAGTTAGCTTTGGGACTGAAGGAAAAAGAGGGAAAATCAAGTGAGAGACCCTTAAGCACAAAGAGAAAGCAACAGTGAGAAGCAGCATGGGGTACGACCCCTCCTGAGCAGCCAGTAAGTGGTAATATGAAGAAACCATCCCCTGCCGTCCCTGGGAGGCTCTTGGCTTCACTCATCTCTGCTTCCAGAGTTTAAAAAGAGAAAGGGAATTCAATCTACCTTGGCCTTTGTGAACTCTCTCCTTCCTCATTTTTTCCTTATAGACATCTAAGTTTTTGCAATCTAAAGAGAAATGAAATTTATGATAAACAATTAAGATGATCACAAGTATGGTTGTATAGTCACTGAACTTGGTATAGATTTAAAATACTCAAACTTCTCTTGGCCTTGTCCCTCAGGAAAACTCCCAGTCCATTCTTCCTGTCCCCATTCTTCAGTCCTCAAGTGAACTTTGGACATCAAGATTCCTTTTGTGTCCTGGAGAAGCAAGGTCATTGCCTTTTGGAGTCCCTAAAACTTTTCTAACCCAGAATTCATTCAGTTCCTTCCTTTTTCTAAGCTGTGTGATCTTTCTCTTCCTTCCTTCTTCCCACCTTCTCTCTTCCTTTTTTACTTTTTAAAAGACTTTCAAAGAATGAAATGGAAATATATACCTTCAAACAGCCTTGAACAAAATCACTCCCATACATTCCAAGCTTATATTTCACTTAGTCTCCTCAGAATTGCCAATTAGAAATTAGAAGATATTGATACCTTCTTACATTCAATTAGTGGATGCTAAACAGAATCATAACACTTCCTGATCTTCCCTGCCTCCCCTATACCCTCCCCTGGTGAGAGTTTTTCCTCCTACCTTGTTATCCTTCTCTTGGAACTGTGAGCCAGGTGTAGAAGAATAGGGTAAAGGTAGACAGGAGGAAACCTAGAGTAAGTCTCTCTTGACTTAGCTGGGGAGAAAGTAATTTGTAAAATACTAAGGTATCTTGATCCCTGAGACGTAAGATAATTTATCCATTCATGTATACTTTTTTATTCACCTGTTCCCAAGCTCCTAAGGAGTACAGTTTTACTCCAGAAAATCAACTTTGTACCAGTGGTTCTCAATAATTGAGGGGGAGGAGTTATACCAGGCCTGTTTCTAGCCTCCTCCAGCCACATACCACCTATTCTTTGAGAATTTCTGCCATTATGAGCCACATGCCAATGGGATGGGTCAATCCTTCAAGAATGGTGGGATCTCTGTTAAAGACTGTAAAGAAGTTGAATTTTGAAACTTGGGGTGTCTTTCAGTTGTCCAAGCTCCACAGATGTAATGCTCCCCCAAAGTATTACATCATTTCCTTCAACAGGACCCCTCCCTTTTCTCAATTAAATTGGAAGAGTTCATGTGTATTGATCTCCAATCTGTTGATTCTATCAAGTTCCCTTAGTCCAAAGTGCACCTTTAATTTTTCCTCTAAGATTTCTTTACCGTTGGTTTCTCCATCTTATCTTCATTGTATTTTTAAAAGGGTTGATGTTTGGGAAGGGCTTTAGATCGATATGTCTTATGTCTGGAAATACCTAGAAGGTAGATTGGGAGTGCTGGTTGTGGTGACACAATCAGAAGATGTAGACTCTGCCTCTCTTTTGGGGTTAGGCTAACTTGCCCAGCAAACTCTGGCATCAGCATTCATTAAGACAGTGGTTCTCAGGTGCTAGCATTAATAATAATCATCTGGAGTCACATTAAAATGCAGATTTCCAGGTCCCAGTATTTCTGAATTAGTGAGTATCTTAGTTATGCTACTATAACAGAAATACCACAAGTGGGTGGCTTTAACAAACAAATTTATTTTCTCACTGTTTAAGAGGCTAGACGTCTGAATTCAGGGTGCCGGCTCTAGGGGAAGGCATTCTTTTTCTCTGTTGGCTCTAAGTGCAGGTCCTTGTCTCTTTTCAGCATCTTTAGGCCTAACCTTCCTTGGCTCTTTGGTGATCTTCATGTGGCATGTCATCCATCTTCCCCCAACTGTGCTTTGCTTCCTTGTTTAATCTGCTCCTTCTGTATTTCAAAAGAGATTGACTCAAGACACACCCTACACTGAATTTGTCTGAAAATTTTAAAGTGACTTAACAATCACTATAATGGCCAACTCAGACTCAGGGATGCAAAAATATAACTTAAAAAAATTTCTACCACTGAATTTCATTTCTGTCTCAAGCCTGCGTTTTGGCGGTGTAGTAAAAGAAAAACCTGGTAAAGTCAGTAATTTCTCACGTCATTTCAGGCTTAAAACTCAGGAGTTCCCCTTTCTTCTCTCTAGGGTTGATACAAAGCATCAAGGGCTAACACAAGGGTAGTGTTAGTAAAGAGAGGACAACAACTTCTTAACCTTGATCTATATGGTGCTTATATGCTGGTCTTCTTTCTGCTCAGAGTGTAACTTTTCCCATTGAGTCAATCACATCCCTTTCCAAGCTGGCAATCCACTGAGGTGTCATGGTGTCTTCACCCATCCCCATCGGTACTGTCTGTGCTGAATTCTTGCAGGTGCAGTAGTTTTTGCAAGCTAACTTCAATGTCGCACTTGGGGTGATATGGGAAACTTTCAGAAGTTCTTCTATACCACCACGGAAAACTCTAGGTGCTCTCTCTGACTCTTCCATGCCTAGGTATATCATACCATACTGTATGGTTAGGGCACCATGATGACATGAAGCTTTCTCCGTGGAACTCATATCTCCCTAGGACTTAACTGGAAATGAGGCACAGACCCTCTATTCTTGGATCCCCAAAGTTTAAAGGAAATCTGTCTTCCTTCTCCTCTGGGACTTGGCCTGTGGATGGATGAGATGCAGCCCCCTTCGAGCTAACTCTTCAGTCTTCCCTAGTTCATATCTTCTTTATTGCTATCTCAGGTATGGAAGGAGGAGATGGACTAATAGTGGCTCCTCATAGTCATTTCCTATATTGTCTGTCTTTTACCTGGACCCATGGAACTTGGCTGCTAAGAAGGCCTTCCAACCAAAAATCAGTTGCTGTCAAGCGAATTCCAATTCGCAGCGACCCAATGTGTGCCAGCATAGAACTGTGCTCCACAGGGTTTTTAATGGCTGATTTTTGGAAGCAGATAGCCAGGCCTTTCTTCCGAGGCACCCCTGGGTAGACTGTAACCACCATTTTTTTTTTTTTTAGCAGCAAAACACGTTAGTCATTTGCACCACCCAGGGACTCCCGAGAAGGCTTTCAGGATATATATATAAATGAATTAATGGGGAAAGAAAAAAAATCCATATGTCCTTTTTTTCCCTCAGCCTAACGGCCTACTTTGGCCTACTTGATATCTGTGGTGTGAAGGGTGGAGAAACAGTGATGGTTAACGCAGCAGCAGGAGCAGTGGGCTCTGTTGTTGGGCAGATAGCTAAACTCAAGGTAAGCAGTTTCCTCCAATAACAAACATTTACTCAAGATTCACAATGTGTGCTGGGAAGGCAACAGTGAACAGAGCAGACCTTCCCTGGCCTGAGAGTGGATCCTATTTGCAGTTGAAAATTTGGAATGATTGAGAAATAGGGGGAAAATGATGTAGCAAAGATGACCTGTGTATTGTTATTTGATAACCATGCAGGTATCAAGTCAGGAATGGCCTCTATCTAGAGTAGTGGGTTTGTAAGCTGTAACTATTTTCGTAATTTTTACTGAACATTCTCTTTCTCCAACTTTATCTCCTTTCTTCATGATTGCCCCCAGCAATACAGAATCAAGGAATCAAATGAATAGGTTCTCCAATCAGCAGGTTGAAACAGACTGCAAACCAAATAAACATAGAAGTAATCTGTTGGGTAGACAGAGCCATGCTGAAGTTATGGTTGGGTTATAGGCTGGCTCAGGGTCTAATTTCACTTATGGGGCTATTGGCCCCTGACAGTATTCCTCATATATGTGAATCAGCACCTAAGAGTATGTTTTTGGGGAATTGACCATACTAGACTAGGAGGTGGAGCTGGTCCATGCTTATGGCTTATAAATGGTTTCCATTCCTTCTTCCTCCCTCCTCCCCCCACCCCCATTTAGGGCTGCAAAGTGGTTGGAGCAGCAGGGTCTGATGACAAGGTTGCCTACCTTAAAAAAGTAGGATTTGATGTTGCCTTTAATTATAAGACAGTAGAGTCTTTGGAAGAAACTTTAAAAAAAGCCTCTCCTGATGGTTATGATTGCTATTTTGATAATGTAAGTACCAACTGGACTTAATATCTGGTTTATTAACAAAGTACTATACAATGGAATATACTTAAGGAGTTTCCATCTAAAATTTAGGAAAGAATATATGCCTTTTTTTTCCTAACAGCTTTATTGAGATATAATTCATATACCGTATATTTCACATATTTAAAGTATATAATCCAATGGTTTTCAGTATATTCACAGAGTTGTATAACCATCCCCACAATCAATTTAAAACATTTTCATCATTACAAAAAGAAACCCTGTACCCATTATCAGTAACTCCCCATTTTCCCCCATGTGGTCTTCTGTGACTGACTTCTTTCACTTAGAATGTTTTCAACATTCATCCATGTTGTACCATGTATCGGTACCTGATTCCATTTTATGGCCAAATAACATTCCATTGTATGGGTATACCCCATTTTATTTATCCATTTACCAGTTGATGGGCATTTGAGTTGTTAACACGTTTTGGCTATTATGTATAATGCTGCTGTGAATATTTGTTTGCAAGTTTTTGTGTGGACTTACGTTTTTATTTCTACTGGGTATACATCTATGAGTGGGATTGCTGGGCCATGTGATAATTCCATGTTTAACATTTTGAGGAACTGACAAAGTGGCTACACTATTTTACATTTCCACCAGCAATGTATCAGGGTTCCAATTTCTCCAAATCCTCATGAACACTTATTTCTATCAGTCTTTTTTTATTATAGCCATCCTAGTGGGTTTGAAGTGGTGTTTCATTGTGGTTCTGATTTGCATTTCCCTAATGACTAATGATATTGAGCATCTTTTCATGCTATCATTGGCCATTTGCATATCTTCTTTGGAGAAATGTCTGTTCAAATTCTTTGCCCATTTTTCAATTGGTTTATTTGTTGAGTTGTAAGAGTTCTTTATATATCCTGGATACAAGTCTCTCATCAGACATATAATTTGCAAATATGTTCTCTTATTCTATGAGTTATTTTTTTACTGTCTTGATAGTGTCCTTTGAAACATAGAAGTTTTTAATTTTTTGTTGTTGTTTTTGTGGTACTTTAAGTGAAAGTTTACAATTCAAGTTAGTCTCTCATACAAAAATTTATACATATATTGTTATGTGACCCTAATTGCTCTCCCTATACTGTGACAGCACTTTCTTCCTTTCCATCCCTGATTTCCCGTGTCCATTCAACCAGCTCCTGACCCTCTCTGCCTTCTCATCTCACCTCCAGCCAGGAGCTTCCCATTTAGTTTCATGTATCTACCTGAGCTAAGAAGCACACTCTTCACGAGTATCATTTTATGTCCCATAGTCCAGTCGAATCTTTGACTGAAGATTTGGCCTTGGGAATGGTTTTAGTCGTGGGTTGACAGAGAGTCCGGGGGCTATGCTTTCTGGGGTTCCTCCAGTCTCAGACCAACCATTAAGTCTGGTCTTTTTACTAGAATTTGAGTTCTGCACTCCACTTTTCTCTTGCTCCAACAGGGACCCTCTGTTGTGTTTCCTGTCAGGGCAGTCATTGGCGGTAGCCAGGCACCATCTACTTCTTCTGGTCTCAGGCTGATGAAATCTCTGGTTTATGTGGCTCTTTCTGTCTCTTGGGCTAATGCTTTCCTTGTGACTTTGGTGTTCTTCATTCTTCTTTACTCTAGGTGGGTTGGGACCACTTGATGCATCTTAGATGGCTGCTCGCTAGCTTTTAAGACCTCAGACGTCACTTACCAAAGTAGGATGCAGAACATTTTCTTAATAAACTTTGTTATGCCAATTGACCTAGATGTCCCCTGAAACCATGGTCCCCAGACCTCCACCCCTGCTACTCTGTCCCTCGAAGTGTTTGGTTGTATTCAGGAAACTTCTTAGCTTTGGTTTAGTCCAGTTCTGCTGACTTCCCCTGTAGTGTGTGCTGTCCTTCCCTTCACCTAAGATAATTTCTGTCTGCTATCTAGCTAGAGAATACCCCCTTCCTCCCTCTCCACCCTTGTAACCATCAAAGAATGTTTTCTTCTGTGTTTAAACCTTTTCTTGAGTTTTTATAATAGTGGTCTTATCTAATATTTGTGCTTTTGTGACTGACTAAATTCACTCAGCATAATGCCTTCTAGATTCCTCCGCGTTATGTTTCATGGATTCATTGATGTTCTTTATCATTGTGTAGTATTCCATTGTGTGAATATACCATAATTTGTTTATCCATTCATCCTTTGATGAACACCTAGGTTGTTTCCATCTTTTTGCTGTCGTGAACAGTGCTGCAGTGAACATGGGTGTGCATATATTTATTCATGTGATGGTTCTTATTTCTCTAGGACATATTCCAAGGAGTGGGATTGTTGCATGGTATGGTACTTCTATTACTAGCTTTTTAAGGAAGCGCCAAATCGATTTCTAAAGTGGTTGTACCATTTTACCTTCCCACCAACGGTATATAAGGAAACACAAAAGTTTTTAATTTTGACAAAGTCTGATAAATCTATTTTTTCTTTTGTTTCTTGGGTTCTAGTGTCATGTCTTAGAAGGCTTTGTTTTACACAAGGTCATGAAGATTTACTCTTATGTTTTCTTCCAAGATTCTTACAGTTTTCTTTTAAGAGTTTTATCGTTTTATAGCTCTTACATTTAGGTCTGTGATCCACTTTGAATTAATTTTTGTGTATGGTGTAAGGAAGGGGTCCAATTTCATTCTTTTCTGTGTGGATATTCAGTTGTTCTGCACCATTTGTTTAAAAGATTGTTCTTTCCCTATTGAATTATTTTGGCACCCTTGTCAAAAATCAATTGACCATAAATATAAGGGTTTATCTCTGGACTCTCAACTCTTTTCTATTGACCTATATTCTTTGGAGTAAGTTTTGAAATCAGGAAATATGAGTCTCCAACTTTGTTCTTCATATGCCTTTTGAATATTTTTCTATACTTTTAGATTATGGGGTAATGAGATTATTGGACTGATCAAAGAACCCCAGTATATAATAAAGTATAATTTATAAGTCATTGAAGGTATGTTGTTAGAGTTAAGTGGAAATGCCCAGGTTCTAATGCTTTTTTTCTGACTACAATTTTCTTAACTATTGTGCTAATTAAATCAGTTTCTTGCTGCTCAAACAGGTATTATGAAACGAAGATTGTGACTTAATGGTTCCTCAAATCTTCTAGTGTTTAGATTATTTAAGTTTTTATTTGTTTTTTTGTTCCTGTTTAGGTAGGTGGAGAGTTTTCAAACACTGTTATCTGCCAGATGAAGAAATTTGGAAAAATTGCTATTTGTGGGGCCATGTCTACATATAACAGTACTGGTCCACCTCCCCCAGGTAATGAGCTCATATACATGATCACAGATGTAGGAAATCTGGACAAGGAGAAGATTCACAGATATGGTATAGGCCAGTGACTATCAAAATATTAGAAAGATTAAAATTAATTTTCATATGACATATTTCTAAGACAACAATGAACTTTGTCACTGACCATACAGATAAATAAGAAAACTGCTAATGATGATGTTGCAAAAAAATATTATATAAAATTTAATATATTTTGTATTAAATCAGATTATATTAAATTTTAATGTAGAGAAATAACAGTATCTAAAAATATGGAAGAAAAACTTATAGTTATTAAAAGTTTTAGTTTTTTACCTATCGTTTTCCGGAAGGTTATAAAAAGATAGCCATTCAGAAACTGAACACCTTGGTCTGGCTGGTAGAATATTAGGGTTTGTCGGAATATTTGGGATATTGCTGGAGGTGTGAGGATGGGTAGTGGGTAGCTTGATACGGGTAAAGGGAAGGGTAGGCTGCCATGTCCTTTAGTCTTGGTCTTTAGTCTTGTGCTTCCTAGAGCAGCAGGATACCCTGGCCTCATCAAACTGGTGGTTTCCACCAAGACGGAAAAGAACATGCATTTCCTCTCCATTCCTTTATTGTCCTTTGTTTGATTGCTTCAGTGGACATTTGGCTCTCCTGTGTCCCCAGTGCCCTACATTCCTCACTTCTCTACTCTCTTATGATGAGACTATCCCTTCCCTCCTCCACACACACAGAGGTCAAAGGCAATAGCAGTAGGGAACAACATTCATTAAATCCCAATCCTCTGAGAGATGTTGTATAGCAAAACCAAACCCGTTGCTGTCCGGTCTGATTCTGACTCATAACGATCCTATAGGACAGAGTAGAAGTGCCCCATAGGGTTTCCAAGGAGCGGCTGGTGGATTTGAACTGCTGACCTTTTGGTTAGCAGCTGAGCTTTTAACCACTGTGTCACCAAGACGCCCTCTCATTTTACAGAAGGGGAGATTAAAAAGGCCTAGAGAAGACCAAAGATTTCTTAAATCCTATTAGGGAGGACTCAAAACAAACACAGGTATTCTGAACTCCTGATACAGAATCCTTTTCTGCTACAAAAATTTTGTGCTGTTGGTGAGATTACAGATGTATCTATGGCCCCCAAAAGGAGAAATAATAACAAAAAAGAATCTTATCAGACTACAGTCAGGGTCTAGGCAACATAATGTGGAAATTATTGAACAATATCATTAATATCACACACAAGTAAAATTTTGCTGAAAATTATTCAAAAGCGGTTGCAGCAGTACATTGACAGGAAATGGCCAGAAATTCAAGCTGGATTCAGAAGATGACATGGAACGAGGGATATCATTGCTGATGTCAGATGAATCACAGCTGAAAGCAGAGAATACCAGAAAGATGTTTACCTGTGTTTTATTGATTATGCAAAGGCATTCAACTGTGAATCATAACAAATTATAGATAACATCGCGAAGAATGAGAAATCCAGAACACTTAATTGTGCTCACGAGAAACCTGTATTTAGATCAAGAGGCAGTCGTTCAAACAGAACAAGGGGATATTGCGTGGTTTAAAGTCAAGAAAGGTGTGCATCAGGGATGTATCTTTCACCGTACTTATTCAATCTGTATGCTGAGCAAATAATCCAAGAAGCTGGATTATATGAAGAGAACGAGGTATCAGGATTGGAGGAAGACTCATTAACAACCTGCAATATGCAGATGATACAACTGTGCTTGCTGAAAGTGAAGAGGACTTGAAGCACTTAGTGATGAAGACCAAAGACCACATCCTTCAGTAAGAATTATACATCAACATAAAGACAACAAAAATCCTCACAACTGGACCCATAAGCAACATCATGGTAAATGGAGAAAAAGATCGAAGTTGTCAAGGATTTCATTTTACTAGGATCCGCAGTCAACGCCCATGAAAGCAGCAGTCAAGAAATCAAATGATGCATTGCATTGGGCAAATCTGCTGCAAAAGATCTCTTTAAAGTGTTAAAAAGCAAAGATGTCACTTTAAGGACTAAGGGGTGCCTGAGCCGAGCCATGGTGTTTTCAATCACCTCATATGCATGTGAAAGCTGGACAATGAATATGGAAGACCAAAGAAGAATTGATGCCTTTGAATTATGGTGTTGCATAAGAATATTGAATATACCATGGACTGCCAGAAGAACAAACAAATCTGTCTTGGAAGTACAGCCAGAATGCTCATTAGAAGCAAGGATGGCAAGACTTCATCTCACGTACCTTGGACATGTTATCAGGAGGGACCAGGAGAAGGACATCATGCTTGATAAAGTAGAAGGCCAGTGAAAAAGAAGTAGACCCTCAATGAGATGGATTGACCCAGTGGCTCCAACAATGGGCTCAAGCATAACAACGGTTGTGAGGATGGCACAAGACCGGGCAGTGTTTTGTTCTGTTGTACACAGGGTCACTATGAGTCAGAACAAACTCGATGACACCCAACAACAACAGGCAACCATAAAGAAATTGGATATTCATTCTGTGATGGGCTTTGACTCATGGAAATGAAACCTTACAGCCCTGGTAGTTACCACCACCACAAGTGCACTGAGACAAGTGCAAAGGGGCTTGAGTGTAAAGAGCTGAGAAAGAGCAACTGGTAGACCCTCTGCTGTGTTGTGAGAAATCAGATACCACCTTTCCCAGAGGAAAATTCGAGTTTCACTTGGCAATTCTATTGTTAGGGACTTTTTCCCCCTATATTTTTCTGGTTGATGCTAAGCTAGAATCTTGTCTGCCTGTCAAATGAGCAAGCTCCAGGATGCATTTTCTTAACCATAGTCCAATTAGCTACAACCAAATATTTTAGATACGGCACCTTGATCTAATCTTTTAGCAATTAGTTTTTGGAAATTCAGCTGCTTAGATAGTTCTTTGATAGATCACCTGGACTTGTCCTTTCTATTTTAATCAGATGGGGTTCTGCCCGATGTCTGATATCCAGACATTCATATTTCAATGTTAGGATAGCTCAGAGACAGGTAATTATTTACCTGAACTTTAATGCCACATTTACTTTTTTTGCCCTCAGTAAGGAAACCAACATTCCCATCAGGATGGGTAAGTTCAGAAACAGTACTTCACCCTCTTCCATGTCAAGGAAATGAGGATTCCAATCCTTAAGTCATAAAAAAAGGTGGCTGGGGTGGGTCTCTGAAGAAGCACTCTTTGTGCAAGACTCGTCTAGCATTTGGATGTGTCACTATTGTATGTCAATCTCCTGTCTCACTTGTCTTTCCTGGGCATGTAGCGGTTTTGGTTCAAGAAAAAGCTCCATTTTTATGACTGCTGATGTTATTTTCTTCCACATAGTGAGTGAGAACTTTAGGTTTGAGTGATACCAGTTATTAAGAACACTGGGGATTAGATTCTGCTACTCATCTTGCCTCTTTTGGCTCTGATATTCTTTAACCTGACTTCCTGGAACTTAATAGGATTATGCTGAGGTATTCCCTCAGTTTCTGGTCATGTATGATCCTGGGGAAAATAAGCCAGGCAACCAATACAACCTTTTGTCTCTCACACAGGAGTACCTTCTTTATAGGTACAGTGACTCAGTAGTAACCTTGTGTGTTTTCTAGGCCAGTAGTTCTCAAAGTGTAGCCCCAGAACCAACTACACCACCATTTCCTGGGAACTTGTTAGAAATTCAAATTCTTAGGCCTCACCTCACATCCATTAGATCAGAAATTGGGAGGGGGCCCAGCAATCTGCTTTCACAAACCCTTCAGATGATTCTGATACATGCTAAAGTTTGAGACCCACTTTTCAGGCTAACTCTTGGTGTTCTGAAATGGTGAGGGCAGGGGTAAGTGGAGGAGTTCCTGAGCCTCTTGATGTATTCTTTCTTCCTGACTCTTGCATCTCCTTTAAGAAGAAAATGGGTTTATGCCACAGAATGACTCTATTAAGCCATAAGGCAGAACATGCTAACTATCGGGAATATCAGGTATTCCTTCTTAAGTATTGCAGAAAATTTTTCATGTTAGCTTCACCTCGTTCTGTTCCATAGAACTGTTTGGGAAGCTTTTGGTGGGCGGCAGGTGAGGGAGGAGCATTCCCTGCCTCCCTGGCCTATGCAAGGACTCAGAGTATATATTAGTTTCCTATCACTGTTGTAACAAATTACCACAAATTTGGTGGCTTAAAAGCAGGGCTTCAAACTGGTTTTTTTTTTATGTCAGAATCTACAGTTTAACAAGATCCCCAGGTGATTCTTAATGTATAAATAAGAATTTATTATTAAATTTAAAAAAAAAAAACTTATTTATACATTAAGAATCACCTGGGGATCTTGTTAAACTGTAGATTCTGATTCAGTATATCTGGGGTAGAAATACAAATTTTCAGCAGAGGGTGAAACCAGAACAAACTGGTCTGAAGCCCTGCTTAAAATAATACAAATTTATTGTCTTATAATTCTGGAGGTCAAAAGTCTAAAATGGAAAAAAAAAAAAAAATCTAAAATGGGTTTGCAGGGCTGCGTTCCTTCTGAAGGATCTAGAGGAAAATCCATTTCTTTGCCTTTTTCAGATTCTAGAGGCCGCGTGCATTCCTTGGCACAAGGCCCCTTCCTTCATCTTCAAAGCCAGCAGCATAGGATCCTCAAGTATTTCTCTCTCTGACCTCTTCTGCCATCACTACATCTCCTGCTCTAACTTTCTTGCCTCCCTCTTTCCCTTACAAGAATTCTTGTAATTACACTGTATTACCAGTATTCACAGGTACTGGAGATTAGGATGTGGACATCTTTGGGTGGGGGCATTATTCTGCCTGCCACAGAGTGCATGCTGATTAGTCGGCAACCCCATAGATCAGGAAGGAGTGGAGGAAATTAAAGGGGAAGTACTAGGAGAACAGTGATGGTAAATTGTGCTGCCTGTTTTTACCACATCCACTTCCCTGGACTCTGTGGCCCAAATGTGCCCTCCTCTTCACAGGCCCACCCCCAGAAATCATCATCTTTCTGGAACTCCGCATGGAAGGGTTCATCGTCACCCGCTGGCAAGGGGATGTCCGCCAGAAGGCTCTGAAAGACTTGCTGAAATGGGTCTCAGAGGTAAGGGGCTCTGGGACCAACTCCTCCAATTGTACATGTGATCCCATTCTTTTGCCACTCAAGACTCATCCTACCAATTATTCCCTCTTTCTGCTGCATTATCAGTTTTCTGCTATCAGGTCATTACTTTTAGAATTCAAACACTCTTCTTCTGTCTTAAAAAGGAAAAACAAAACAAAACCAACGAACAAAAAAAACCCTCTCTAGATCTCATTTCCACTCCAAATACAGGTCTACTTCACTGCTTTCCCTTTTGTAACAAAATTCCTAGAAGAGTTTTCTATACCCGCTGTCTGCTATTCCTCTCTTTCCATTTTTTCTTGAGCCCGCTTATCAGACTTTTGTCCTGCTGCTACTCCACCAAAATTGTTTTTGCCAAGGCTGCTGATGTTCCTCACGTTGCAAAATCCAATGGTCATTTCTCAGCATCATTTAACAATGGGCAGTACTTGACAGAGGTGATCACTCCTTCCTTAGTACACTTTCTTTCCTTGGCTTCTAGGACAACACTCTTGGTTTTCTTTCTACCTGACTGGTCCTTCTCAGACTCCTTTGCTGTTTTTTCCTTCTCTCCTGATATTAGAGTGCCGCAGTATATGGTCATTGGACCTCTCTTCTTCTCTATCCACACTCTGTCCCTTAATTAGCTCATCCAGGCTCATGTCTTTAAATATCATCAATGTGCTGATGGCTCCCAACTTTCTATCTCCAGCCTAGACTACTTTCCTGAATTCTAGACTTGTATATCCAGCAGCTTACTCAACAGCTGCACTTAGATGCCTAATACACATCTCAGACTTAACATGTCAAACACAGAATGTTTTGATCTTTCTGTGAAATACACTGTGTATGTATATCTTGCCACAAAATTGACTGTGAAGTTAATGGAGGGTAGGGCCTCCAGCTTATGTTTTCAAATCTTGCATGATGTACCTGATAAATGTTTGTTGCTAGCATAAGAAGGATGTATCATTTGGAATATGAAATTAACCTGTTATATTTGTTGTTGTTTGGTGCAGGGTAAAATCCAATACCATGAACACATCAAAGAAGGATTTGAAAACATGCCAGCTGCATTTATGGGAATGCTGAAAGGAGAAAATTTGGGGAAAACAATAGTGAAAGCATGAAAAAGGACACGTGGAATCTAGAGATCATTTGGATGATTACTTAATTTGTGTTTTTCACCATTTAGTAAAAATGTTTATTGCGTTAATTATCTAAGAAATAGCAACTGTAATGAGTTTGACCTACAAAATAAATTTAAGTATAAACGGTGTATTATTAGCAACAGGGAATGCAATTTCAGTGAACAAAAACCAGTCACTTGACTGCCTCTACAGATCCTTCTGCATTATGGTAGAAAATAATGGCTCTGAAGTCTGAAAGATTTACTGCCTCTGTGACCTTGAATTTCTGCTTTTTCATCTGTAAAGTGAGGATAATAACGTCTGCTTCATAGACATATTATACACTTATTTAACACATCAGCGTAATGCCTGGCATATATTAGGTACTTGATAAATGCTAGCTACCTCGCTGCAGAAATCAGTGAATTTGAAGTCATAAGATTACTACCCCTATTGCTCATGATTATACCAGAAAAAAATAATCATTGCTAGTGTACAAGAGGTCCCAGGGCCAGCCCACACTGATCCTTTGCAGGTGAATCAAATAATATGACAGACCAAGAAAGGAATCTACTGTTCACAACAGCTAGAAAAAATACACAGGAATATTAATAGCTTATAAAAATTGTGCAAAATGTATACAACAAAAGCTTAAAACATTACTGAGAATACCAAAGAAAAACATAGAAAGGTATCATGTTCTGGGACAGGAAGATTCAATGTCATAATGATGTCAGTTCTGTTGGTCAATTGTGCCAACAACAGGAGGGGGTTAAAGAAATTGTAGTATAATAATGAAAAAAATATGTGTGTGTGTGTACAATTGATCGTCATTATTTTCGGGTTCCTTATTTGTGAATTCATCTGCTCACTAAAATTTATTTGTAACCCCAAAATTAGTATTTGCAGTACTTTTCCCATCATTCACAGAGTGGTGAAAAAGTTGAGTTGCCTGAGGCCAAGGTTCCTGACAGGTTGAACAAGACTGGTTTGGTACTCACTAATACAGGTTCTGGTGCCTCAGTGGTTAAGAGCTCAGATGCTAACCAAACGGTTGGCAGTTCAAATCCACCAGCTGCTCCTTGGAAACCCTATGGGGCGGTTCTACTGTGTACTTATAGGGTTGCTATGAATCAGAATTGACTCCATGGCAATGTTTTTTTTTTTTTTTTTGTTAATACAGGTTCTCAGTGACTTTACAGAATATACCAGTTGCTGTCCAGTGGACCCTGACTCATGGTTACCCCATGTGTGTCAGAATAGAACTGTGCTCCATAGGGTTTTCAATGGTTGATTTTTTTGAACTCTGAACCCTGTGAACAAATTACAAATTAAAAAAAATAAAAAAAAAACCAACAAATCAAAAACAAAACTTTCTTGCCCTTTCATGTCCTCTTCCCTTACCAAACTATTCAATCCTAAATGTATTAGATGGTACAGAGCAAGGTAAATTTGTGCTGGGGTTCAGGGTGGAGGAGCCTCTGTGACCCAGAGCAGGTTGAGGAGGTCATGCATATAGGCTGACTGCCCAGGATGGGGAGTCAAAGCCCAAAGTTGTTTGTGTGCGTGGAGGGTATTGCAGCTCAGCGCAGGGAGTTGGAGCTTGAGCAGAATGAGGAAGGCATCTGAGTCATAAGAGGGCTACCCAACATGGTGTCAATGCTGAAGAGTACAGAAGGCATGCACACAGGTGAGGGGTTGAGGCTGGGGAAAAGCATGGCCTGACAAAGGGTATCAGGGTCCAAGCAGGGTGAGGAGGGTGTTTGAATAGGACAGCTGCCTGGTGTAAGGAATCAAAGTCCAAACAGTGAGGAAGGTACCATGTATGGGGGGAGCCCAGCATGGTGTTTAAGAGCCCAAGGAGGGTGAGGAGGATGCCCACATGGAGGAATGGCCTGGGATGGGGTACCTGATCCTACGCAGGTGAAGACGGTATCCATGGGGAGGTAGGTGGCCTGGTGCAGACTACTGAGTCCCAAGTAGGTTAGGAGGGGAGTGCTCATGCATGGAGTGGCCTGAAATGGAGGTTAGAGCCTAGTGAAGTTTTTGTGTACCGTGTGGTCCAGCATGAGCTGCTGGACCATTGGCAAAGACCAGAGAATGTCCACATGGGGAAGAAACAGTGGTTTCCCTGCCTCTGTGCACTTGGCAGCCACATGTACCAGATGGCGTAGCTACAAAATGATGGAAGACTGAATGGGAAATAAACTTTTGTTGCATTAAACCACTCTGATTTCTTGGGATGTCTGTGACTACATTTGCTTCCTCTAACTCTGCACTGTCCAATACGGCAGCCACAAGCCACTTGAGGCTATTGAGAACATGAAATGTGGACAGTGTCAACATTTTAAAATTCAAAAAACTGAAGCAGAATAAAAATTTTTTTTTCCACTGAAGACAACTTTATTGTTTTGGTAGAACTACAATTCACTTTAACCATTGCATCACATAGGATATTATATTTTAATGTTTGTACATGCACGTGAGATGTTTCTATTATTACACACAAACATCACCAATCTACTCAGTATCAACAGATGACTTTTTTTTTCTCCTATGTACTGAAGTAACATCATAACGTGTTGACTTGGATATTTTATGCAGGTAGCACAAGTTACAGGGTATCTATGCAGACAGCAAAAGTTACAGTGATACCTATGTAATCACATTCATAAGTTGAAATACTATTTTAATTATAATTGCCTTTCTAAGTTAAAAAAATAGACAAATATTTATATTTTAAATGGAAGCATATTAGTGATGCAGAATTGTGTACAGATGCAGAAGCTAATACTATGACCAGTACAAGAAAGAAGAGAGACTACAAGAAGGTAGAGCACAAATTTCACATCGAATGGTAATTGCAATTTACTGGAGCAAAGCAAAAGGAAAAGCTATTTGTTGCATAAAAAAAGTACTGAATGAGGTACCATCTCACCCTGGCATTACTGGCATGAATGAAAAACACTGGAAATAACAAATGCTGGAGAGGCTGCCGGGAGATCAGAACTCTTATGCACTGCTGGTAGGAATGCATAATGATACAACCATTTTGGAAAAGGATATGGCGCTTCCTTAGAAAGCTAGAAATAGAAATACCATAAGATCCAGCAACCCCACTCCTAGAATATATCCTAGAGAAATAAGAGCCGTCACACGAATAGACATATGCACAACCATGTTCATGGCAGCATTGTTCACAATAGCAAACACATGGAAACCACCTAGATGCCCATCAACAGATGGATAAACAAACTATGGTACATACACACAATGGAGTATTATGCAAAGATAAAGAACACTGATGAATCTGTGAAGCATCTCATAACATAGATGAAACTGGAGGACATTATGCTGAGTGAAATAAGTCAATCACAAAAGGACAAATACTGTATGAGACCTCTACTGTAAAAACTCATGAAAAAGTTCACACACAAAAAGTAACAATCTTTGTTGGTTACAAAGGATGGGGGGTGGAATACTAAATAGACAGTACGTAAGTGGTAACTTTGGTGAAGGATATGACAGTACACAATACTGGGGAAGCCAGCACAATTTGTACAAGGAAAGGTCATGGAAGCTCCATAGACACATCCAAACTCCCTGAGGGACTGAATTGCCGGGCAGAGGGCTGTGGGGACCATGGTCTCGGGGAACATCTGGCTCAATTGGCATAACACAGTTTATAAAGACAATGTTTTACATTCTACCTTGGTGAGTAGCATCTGAGGTCTTAAAAGCCTGTGAGCAGCCATCTAAGACACTCCACTGGTCTCGCCCCTTCGGGAGCAAGGAAGAATGAACAGGATACAAGGAAAAGATTAGTCCGAAGGACTAATGGACCACAACTACCAAGGCCTCCACCAGACTTTGAGTCCAGTACAGCTAGATGGTACCTGGCTACCACCACCTACTGCTCTGACTAGGATCACAACAGAGGGTTCTGGACAGAGCTGGAAAAGGATGTAGAACAAAATTCTAACACACACAGAAAGACCAGATTTACTGGCCTGACAAAGACTGGAGAAACCCTGAGAGTATGGCCCCCAGACACCCTTTTAGCTCAGTAGTGAAGTCACTCGGAAGGTTCATCATTCAGCCGGGGAGTGGATGCCCCATAAAACAAAACAGGACTTAATGAGGCACAGCAGTTCAGGGACACGGACTAGAAGTCAGAAGGGGACAGGAAAGCTGGTGATAGGGAACCCAAGGTTGACTAAGGACAGTGTTGACATGTAGTGTTCTTAACCATTGTCATAGGGCAATATGTGTACTAGCTGTTTAAAGAGAAACTATTTTGTTCTATAAACCTTCATCTAAAATGAGAATAGCAGCACAACTGGAAGAACGTAACTGACGTCACTGAATTGTACAGGTAGAAATTTTTGAAATGGTTTATCTTTGTTTGGCTATGTATATTTTCACCAAAAAAAAAAGGTCCTCCAAGGCCAAGAAGGGAGCATGTTTACATGTTGTGGGGTTGTTAACCAATGTCGTAAAACAATATGTGTACTGACTGTTTAATGAGAAACTATTTGTTCTGTAAACCTTCACCTAAAAAAAGTACAGTAAAAAAAAAATTTTAAAAAAGTACTAAAGATAATACAGTAGACAATACTTAACATGTCATTTTTCACTAACACAGTGAATTTGATCAGTTTTCTCCCAACATTCACAAAAGAATCAGTCATTTCAAATGAAAATTGAATTTTTACCCAAAAAAATCTAAACCACTTTTAGCAGGATCTGAGTTTATAAATTTGGCTAGCTATAAAAAAGTTTGAATTCTTGGGCAGAAAAGACAACTTTAGCTGGCAAGATGGCAAAAAGAAATTATCATTTTAGTTACAGTAATATAGAAAATTATGAGGAAAAGACTAAAAAAGGTATTTTACAAGAAGTAAAATTTTTAGTTAAGCTGCCAAACAGTTTTGATCACAGAATAAGATCCTTTTGTATATACTTTAATATAATCTAATATCAATTGATTCAGTTTGAAAAATTTCAATATTTTTTTAATTGGCTTTAGATCAGTCATATGATATGACACTGTCCAATGTATATGTTGGGTATGTTTTGTTTCAAAGGATATCCAAGTTTACAAATAAATATTATCAATTCATAGTGTAAAAACTGAAACTCTTGGTGTACATCTGTCAAAGAATTTTAGCTAGAGACAGAAAAATTAGCTCCTATCATGAAGATGGGACTCCAACTCTGTTACATCAAAATCCCGATGTATTGGAAGTAGAAGCAATAGAAATGTTTCTCTCATTGCTCTGTTCCATTCTATGATACATAGAAAATATCTGAACTCAGTTTTCTGAAGCAGACTCTGAGAAAAGTGTCGTGGATACAGATGCTAAAACTGTTTGGTATATATGTTCAAGTACCATGAAGTAATCATCGCCAGTATAGGGAACTGTCGAAATAGAGAAGACAATGATCTTGTGATCTTGTATTCTTTATCAATGTTCCTTAGTTGAGTCATCGAAGATTTTTACAGAGATTTTACAAAATTTTTTTTGTAATGTCAAGATTTTCTTGAAACAAAAGGGATCCTTACCAAATATTCAATAATCAAAGATAAACAATGGCAATGTAATTTAGGTTTTTCCCCCTGATGTTACACTGCATATGAATGAGCTAAATTTGAAGTTCCAAGAAAG